GGGGAGCCTGCTTCTCCCTCTCCCACTCCCCCTGCTTGTGTTCCCTCTCTCGCTGTGTCTCTCTCTGTCAAATAAATAAAATCTTTAAAAAAAACCCAAAGGTTTTAATGAATACCTTTGGGAACACTATGAAGGAGATTTCTTTTTTATTTGAAAGATTTTTAAGTAATCTCTACACCCAACCTGGGGGCTTGAACTCAACCCCAAGATCAACAGCCACAAGCCACACCAACTGAGCCAGCCAGCCCCAAATTTAAAAATTAAACGGGGGGTGGGGCACACTTGGGTGGCCCAGTCAGTTAAGTGGCCGACTCGACTTCAGCTCAGGTCATGAGATCAAGCTCTACGCTCAGCAGGGAGTCTGCTTGAAGACTCTCCCTGTGCCCCTGCATGTATGCACGTGTGCTCACTCTAAAATCTTAAAAAAAAAAAAAAAGCAAACTTGGGCTATTAAGCAAAGTAGTACAAATCTCCTAAATTGTAGATAATTTTGCTAATAAAGTATGGATGCCATTTAAATTACAAAGAAGTCTAATTAGAATCAGGTGCTTTCACATTTACAGTTTCTCATATTCCATATATACACCCTCTGTATCCATTAAACACAGCACTGCAAGTATATAGAGGGACAAGAAGTTCCAAGAAAACAGTTGTGCCGCTTTCATGAATCGAAACCCCCTTGCCCCCAGCTCTGAGTTAGCCATCGCCTCTCAGAAGAACCCACATTTCTTTTAAAAACCTATTGAGGAAAACCAGCTAACTTCCATCCAGCAATGTTCAAGTGCTTAAAAAATCCATTTATGGATTTGGAAATTTCAAGTAAATTTGTCTTTCATGGGCACACAGACATCTAAACCCTTAAGCCAGAGATGGTAGTGATGGAAGTTTCCAATGTTAAACTACATGCAAGCAAACAAAAGCTGTGCATCCCCGTCCTGGCGTTTGCATCCCAGGGTCCTGTTGTCCCGAGCTCACAGCAGCGCCCCCTACAGCAGGCGGCGGCACGCTGCTTCTCCGGAAGACACGTGCCCTTTCCACAGGCCGCACCAGTAGCCGGCTCCCTCTCTAAGGGGACTTGGGATCCAGGCCAAGGCGGCTGTCACTAGGCATTCACCCCGCAAAGCTACGCACGTCAGCCCGGTGAGCGGGGGAAGGAAACCCAGTGTCAGAAGGGACACTTTTTTCTAAGAACTGTAGGTTACATTCCTATGGCTCAAGAAGGCCTTTCAAAACCAATAAAACCACCAGCTCTAGGGAAATCTTTACTCCTTAAAATCTCCCTTTGGTAAGAGGCATTTTACAAGGTCAAGACAAAATGTCCGCACACGCACTGTGGGTGAGAGACCCAAGCCTGTCTGTCCCAAGGACCACAAGAGCCTCTCCCCTCTGAGGATCGACACTCCACAAATCCTAAGACCCACAGTCTTCTCGTGGCTGACCCGAAGCCCCTTTGATTATTTCAGACCTGCCTCGGGCGCCTTCCTGTCTCCTTTTCTGCCTGCACTGCAGAACCCAGGACCACATGAATTGTCCCCAGGGTGGAACACCTTGTCTTGGCTCTAAGGTTCTTGTAACTGAGCGAGCATACCAGCATGAAACACGGTACAGATTCCCTTCCCAGGCAGCTCTGTTCAAGCCTGTTGAGACCTAGGCCAGGGGGTGGGGGGTGGGGGGGCGCGAGGCGGGGGGCACGGCGTACTGCAGGGAACCCTTGCAGCAGGGGACGGCAGCAGGCCTTCCCAGAGGCCAGACTGGTGTGAGAGTTTACAGTCTCTGAACATTCAAGGACATCTTTCTAAAAGAGCCAAAGATGCATCACCCTTGAAAACCAGCCTTTCCAAGAAACCTGGAAATCCATACACCATCCTTGCTTGAGATCAAGGGGAAACTTGCCCTCTCTGGAGTTCTGGCATTCAGAGCCGAACAGCCAGCTAGAAGTTGTGATGTACTTCAAACACCGCACCCACCTCTCCCATCGCCCTTTTGCAGTGTGGAGGTCGCCAGCGGGCACGCTTGTTCCCGGCAGGGGGCAGCGTGCTGGGCAGAGGCAGCTCGCCTCCCGGAGGCCCGTGAGAACGCCGGGCAGAAGTGGCAGGTGGCAAGTGGGGAGGAGGTGGCTGGCGAGGCCGGGAGATCGCCTACAATCTCAGTATTGGGGAAGGTACTGCGAACAGAGGAGGGCTGTGCAGAACCCCAGGGTGCCGGTAGCAGTATAAACGCAGGGCTTCCAAACACACACACGCTGACCAGACGAATGTGTGTACACATGGACACGCACACACGCACGCCTACGCATCTGTTTACGCGCCAGCTGCTCAGAAGGCCTAGAAAAATAGCAGTGGGTGCTCTGAATGCCCAGACCTTGGTGGTTTTTGTCTCTTTGGCTTTTCTCTTTTATCTTTTATGCCTGGCGTGAGGCTCAAACTCACAGCTCCCAGATCGAGTGTCACATGCTCTATGGACTGAGCCCAGGCAGGCGCCTGCCCCCCCAACACCCTGGTTTTTGGATGCTCTCGTCACTAAAGGGAACCAGAATAAATGGCTGACTCCAGGACTGGGGAAGGGAAAATGTTTTTCCTTTCACTGCTTCTATCCCTGCAATGTTGATGAACGCCCTTCTGTTGCTGAGCACTTTTCCATAACCTTCTGGCCACTTTGTCATCCTGACAGTCCAACCCACAGGCCGGTTCATGAACGTGAACCGTCTTCCGAGAATACAAGCCACAAAGCCACCAGCCCACTCCTCAGCCAGGCCTGAATGCAGTGCCTCACCTTGACGACTCCGAGTGTGAGAGCACCCGCTGGAAGTGAGGAGACTCGAGGTGTTAGAAGACTCTCTCCTCTTCGGGCTCCTTCTTTGGGTGACAGTGTCCGGTCCAGAGGAGAGGCACCTCCCCTCGCTTGGGTGCCCACACGCCGTACTTCCACACCCTCACTCACCTCTTCCCTCACTTCTTTAGTTACTGCTCAGAAGGACCAAAAATTCATTAGTATCTGTTTATTGATCAATGGTTTGATATAAAGTTATTTCAGATCTTCAGAATTTTGCCCAAACAGAAGTCACAAGCATTACAAAGTGTTTTTTTTTTTCTTTCTTAAAAAAAAGGGTAGGAGGCAGGTTGGGAGGGGACCAACCTAGCAGTAGTGGCATTTGAGAATAAATTAACAAAAAAAAATTTAGTATTACCATTTATTGGTGACAAACACTAAGTTTTACTTACATTCCATGGGGAGAAAAAAATTCCAGCGTAAACAATGAATCGAAGCGGTACTTAACTCGCAAGGCTACGGTGCTTTTCATCTGGACCATATGCAGGACCTTAAACTGCACACGCTTCTGTGCCCAGAAACACAACATCAAAAGCAACACAGTTTCAGAGATAAACACGGGTCATTCTTTTCAGCCCTACATGGAGATGTAATCAACAGTACAAAGCACTCAAGGAAATCCCCCTGCGGGTTGGTGTGTACTACATGGAGACCATATCCTGTAGTGTAGTGAAAGCTACGTGTCTTCAAGAGCCAGGTGTATGTACACACGATTTTTTTTAATAATCTTTAAAACAAAGATCAAAGTTCATTTGTTTAAGTCCTGTTGCATTAACAAAAGTAAAATAGAAAAAGAACCAAATGATCATTGAAGTTTAAAATTCCTAAACTGTCCAGTTTATACAACCGTGGGAGACTTCATCAAGGACTCTGAGAAGCCCAGGACCGTTTCAGCTAAACCGGAGGCCACACAGTTTGCGTCACCGAAATGGTCCTGGGTTAGTCCAGTAAAGTCAAGACGTATAACCACATACACATGGATATGATCTTTGCTGATTAGATTACTGAAGTCAGTCTCAGACAAGTTTCTAAACTGTGCTATGTAACTAGATACAACTGAGAAACTCTCAGATGAAAATGTATATAGTGTCATTTCAGTCAAAAGAAAATAATAAAACTAAGAATATGTAATCTCTTTCGGGAGAGAAAGCAGTGGTGAGGAGAGAGTGGGCGCCACGGAGGCGGGGGCCGGAGCACGCGAGAATGGTTAGCTGGCGCTGAGTAGGAAGCATGTGATTTTCTCTGGTGCTTTCGGCCCTGGGGCTGGTGTACGGCCCCGCTCCCCGGCGTGGGTGTCCAGGGTGTGTCCCAAGGGCTTGAGTGAGCCACTGAGAAAGGGTCGTGCTCTGTTCCCGGTTTCCTTCACACAGCCCCAATACACAAGCACCGAGGGGTCCGGGGCCGCATGGCAGGCCCCGCCGCGCCCCCCAGCAGCTGCCTGTATGTGGGGACAGAACAGCACCCGCGAGCGCAGCCACGGCCGCCTCCTTGTGTTCCCGTCTTCGTCACCACTGCCGCCTCTGGTTCTTTACCCAGCACGTCGCTCGGCCCACTGGAGGTATCAGAACTTTCAAATTCTCAAAGCAGGTTCAGTATTTTCAGTATACGCGTCGGGGTTTCACAACGGTTCGTGGCCAGAAAAGGTTCAGCACCTCCCACACCTTCAAGGAAGAAAAGAAAGGAGAGTGATGCCAGTTTTGAAATGTAAGAAAATTTAACCCATGCTGAAGACGAGAAGAAATCGGCAGACACTGAAGCCCAAAAGCACAGGACCGCTTATGACCACTGGGTTCCGGTTTTCTCAGGATGCACCGTCGAGTGAAAAAGGTGAGGAGAAGGAGTGTGTAGTGTGTGATCTCCGGGAGAAAAGGAAGAATGCAAGGAAGACAGGACTGTATTTGCATAAAGAAACACACAGGAAAGATACGTAAGAAACTACTAACCGTTGTGATCTGTGGGTGGGGGCAGGGAGAGTGACGTGGGTGAGGGCTGCGTGGGGGGCAAGACTGACCACCCGGCATCTCTGGAGATCACTGTGGGGTCTGAACCCTGTGTATGTATTACCTATTCTCATTTTTTTTTAAAGAAAGTCGAGCTCTGCTCACAACCTGGAAACCTTTCAGGGAAAGGGACAGAAAGTGATAAGAGGGGATGTCTTACTATTGAGTTGAGCAGGCGGTTTGAATTTAATGCAAATGAGGAACAGAACTGCCTTTCCGAGTAAATCAGCTCACTCACACAGACATTGGTCCATTTCCTGTTCTTGGCATCTCTGTACTCGGTTGGTCCAACTCAGAGAGCAGCTTTAAGATGTTCAGTGCAGCCTGGCAGGGACAAAAAGAAGAGTCAGAGCATGACCGCCACCCGGGGCCACAGCAAGACGCTGTCTGAACAGGTAGGCGAGGGACAAAACAGGGAGTCCCACTAAACCTCACATTCCCTTAATAGTTGGACTTTCGGTTTGAAATACAAATTACAAAATAAATTATCCATGTTTACCTCACTGAATCACAACCTCTGCTAATTTTCTTTTAATATTTTTAACTTTATGGTAACTAGACTACACATTTTGTATCTTGCTTTAGAACAGAAACCTGTCATGTTCCCTTGTTAGAATACGTTAATTTGATGTTTGCATTATATTCCATCAGGTGGATATACCACAGTTTACCTAGATTAATCAGTTCTTTTTCTCAGTTTTGTACTTCTCGTTAACAGTAGTTGCACCTGAACGGAGACCAAAATAAGGGGCTTTCTACAGCTGCCCGAACCTGGGCGTGTGGTCTGTGTTCTGGGAGGAGAGGAATGGACACAGCGCGTGGAGGGGGTCCAGGACCCAAGTCCACCCCCCAGGCCAGCACAGGGACGGGAAGGAGAGTCTAAGGCTGATGAATTCTGATAAACAATGAACAATCAATAAACTGAGGAAGAAATCTTCAAAAATACGAAGTCTATAAAAGTACCCAAGTCTCTGGGAGAACCCTTCTCCTGTCTGCCCAAGGTCAGCAATAGGCAGGGGCCAGGAGCCCTGGGGAACGTACCATGTCATGGCAGGACTCCACATCCTTTCCAATACCATGGCTGATCAGAGGTGGCTGAGAGGAGCAATTGATAAGAGATACAAACTCGTTCTTGTTGTTTTTGGGGAAGTCTTTGTATTCAACCTGAGGGGAAAAGAAAACCGAGGCCGAGTAGGGCAGCGGCGAATACGCAAGGAGCCCAGCAAATGGAGAAGACACGTCTTTCTCCTGCTGTCAACCAGACACGACTCCTGCGCAGTGAGCAGACTGTCCAGGGCGCCTGCAGCTGGGGGTACCCAAAAACCCTGGTCAGGGAGAAAGGGGGGGTACCAAACACCTGGTCTGAAAGAAGCCATGTCCTTTACTGCTAGGCTGAAAAGGGCCAGCACACTGAATCCATTCTTGCTAGAACTATCACTAAGATGACAAGCTTTGTTACTACGGATAGCTTGGATTTTGTAAAAGCTTATTTATTAGCAAAGGACAAGGTGATTCTGTTACCATACAGGCTTGTCCCATACTTTCCCGAACTCCCTCCACCCGCCTCAGGACCATCAGGTACCCCGTGCCCTCCACCCTTCCTCCACATAAAGACCTGGATTTAATAAACGAGGTGCAAGGCTCATTTTCTGAGAGAAACCCAAAAAAGTTGAGTGCACTGAGGTCTAGACCACACAGCTCCACCCTAACAGTTACCTGGAATCCCTGGACTCTGGAAAGATAGTCCAGCTGCTCAGAGGGTCTTGTAAGAGGTCCATGGGGTACGTGGCCTGAAGAGATGTTATTCTTTAAAATGGTCTCGGCTGTGGGCGAGGTGCCCCCATACAACAACTCACGGGCTATCATGGCAGTTACCGTGGCCTTGGCCGGATTCGGAGCTGCCCTGGTGAAATCTTTGGTGTGGTGTCCTTGACTGACTCCTACGGCCTGGGCAACCTCGGGCACCATGGGAAGAATCCCCGCGGGCAGCTGCTGATGACTAAGATAAGGCATCCTAAACTCATCCTCTTTATTGCCTAGGGAGGGACACGCAGACAGATCAACACGAGGCCACGTGCGCCGCTAGGAAAGACCTTTGCCACCCCGCCGGCCCGCCCTCGGCGCACACGACAGCTTGGGGAGGCCGCAGAGCTCCACACTGCTCGTCGTTCCAGGGGCCACGCCAAGCCCAGACTCACATTCAGATCAAGACAGTATTAACATCACACTTACTAGTCCCATTTTCATCCCCAGAGCCAGGTTCAAAAAAGGTTACTTTTCTTCCATCCCCTGGTTTTTTTATTGGTGTCTTAAAAAAGAAAAAAAAAAAAAAGGCCATGAGCGGAAATCAAACTGTCGCAAGATTAGTTCTTACTCTCTGAAACTATACCAGCTCCAACCAGCGTTCATCTGTGGTTTGTAACCTTTTGAAATATGAAGAGGTAATCAGCAGAGAAGCCCTACCCCCACGCCGAATGGCCCAGCAGCCTCCTGCGTTCCCCCCTGAGCCACTCCCGCCCCCACGGCCTGTCCTCTACCAGAGGAGGCTGAGAATCCTCCTGAGCCGGGGGCTCAGCTCTGCTCAGCACTCACAGGACGACAGGGGAACGTTTAACCAGAGGGAGCCAGAGATGCTAGATGCTTTCCCCAAGGCGGGGAAAAGCAGCTTTTAGATGAAAGCTAAACAAAGACTTTTCTGGAACTAATATCCAATTCAAAGAAAAGGTGACATTTCCAAAGATAACAAACGGGGGGGAATGCTATGAGAGAAAACTTTTGTCAAACACGGTCTCCTTTCTGAGAAGGGAATCTTCTATCAGATTTTGGAATGAAAAACCCCAAAACCAAGTGTCCAGACTCTGTGCCGATTCTCCGAGGAGTGTCCGCGGCCACGGCAGAGGCCACGGCCCGCTGCCGGCACGGCTGGCACAGGGAGGGGTCCCGTCCCGGGACCTCTCAGTGGAAACAAGCTCGGTTAAGAACCCGCTTGAGGGTACTGCTTTACCAATCTTGGCAGAAGATTTTGTTATCTAGTGTTCAATTCATAAAGAAAAAAAGAATCCCGAATCCAAACTACGAACTTCCTTCCATAAATCCCAGTGTGTCAGTGTCCCAGAAAACCCAAAGCCTGCTTCCCAACTAGCAGAAGCCTGAGGCCGCGGGTCTTCCACGCGGGCCCCACCGCGAGCACGAGGGCAGCTGCAGACAGGGTCATCTGCAGCCCCGTCGCCCATCCTCCTCCAAGTGGAAAGGGGCGAGCTGCCCTCCAGCCAAGTGTCCCCGACCACAGAGATACAGAAACAAGAACGACTTAACCCAGAGCCACGCTCGGAGCCACGGACATGCAACTCCCCTTCTGACCACATTATAATGCTCCAAACGGATAGGACGCCGCTCAGCAGGGCTGTTTTCCTGCCAGGAGGATGAAGCCTTGCCCTGAAGCCTGGCCCTGGAGGTTGCCAGAGTCCCCTAGGATGAGGCGAGGAGGTCATCTTGCCATTAGAGAGCAAGGACACAGAGCCCCGAGCAGTCACCTTCTCCTCTGATTTGAGGGCTGGTTTGGTGGGCTGAGCCTGTGGGACTTTGAAACCAAGGATCTCCAACATGTTCTCAGCTGCGTTGCGTTTGGCCACCTTCTTGTTGGTGCCTGTTCCTTCTGCGGTATGGTTTCCCACCTTCACCTGCATGAGGACGAAGTCAGGACTCAGACCAGTGCTTACACCTTCAGAATAAGACTGGCGAGGCAGTGGCGTGTGGGCAAAAGAACCCAACAGCGACCACAAGCCTCCCAGGGGCGCCCGTGGCGGCCGCCGGTCAATGTGAGATCACAGAAGCTTACAGGTCCTTTAACGTAAGGAGTTCTAAAAACGCACTTCCTGACGTGACTCCCTCTGACACTCATCTGTGCTGCTGAGGGTCTGCGACCCGGGGCACGTGTGTGGAGCCCAGCCCGGGACCGCCTGCACGGCCGCGGCCAGAGCGTTCCCCCCACGGAACCCTGCAGGCACCTTGCAGCACCCCGCCTCCGGTGGTTCTGTCGTCTCCTCTAGACTTATGAGATGGAGGACAGGTTAATGACGGAGGCAGGCACGCAAACTACGCTTACAAGCCTGTCGAGTCTGCAGCCAGGCCCTGTAACTGCACAAAAAACGGGAACAGCCACCCAGTCGTTGAAAATGATCCGGTTCAACAAAGTCACTCACTGTTCACAAATGAAGTTCCAACGTGTCTTTACTTTCATCTTCTGTATGTAAACAAAGACGTTAACCGATTCTCATGCTAGAACTGTGCTCCTCTATCAACAGCACGGGCGGCCTGCTTTTCTAACACCATCTAACACTGTCACAGCCCTTACGTGACAGAGAACACGGAAAGTAAAGAGTATTACGTGTTTTCTGTATTATTTGTCAACTGCGCCCTGGCCCAGTGGGCCCCGCTCCCCGCCGTCGGACGTTCGCACTACTAAGACCATGTTGCTTGTAGTACTTTGATGCCTTAAATCGTGTCCTCGCGTGCGCACCGCACGTGCTGCTGAGTCAGCGGACAGGAGCTCATCCTCTCTGTGACATCTGTACTACACAGACGTGCAGTTTATACATGCGTAACACATCTCTAAACGCCCCCCTTCCCACCAGCCCGCCCCCCAGGAGAGCTGAGTGTTCACAGGTTCCAGCACGTAACCACGGCTTACAACCCCTTCCGAGCTGGTCCTGATCACAGACCAGACCAAAAAGCCCCATGTCCCAGAACTGAGAGTCAAGGAAACCTGCCCTGGCCTGTGAAGAGGGCTCTGGGGTTGAATCCTGGCCTTGCCATCTACCAGCTTTGATTTTGGCCAAATTACTGACCCTCTTGGTGTGCTGCCATCTTCCCTGCCGCCTGGAAGGACTGTGACTTTACTCGCCTTCTGACTGGGGAGGGAGAGCACGCCGAGAACACTTCCCAAGTCATGAGCGAACTGCTACACGAGAGCAAAGTACTGGGTTTTTCACCAGAAAACACCATTAAATTCAAATCACAAAGTAGACCGCCCATATGAGTAACCGTTTCACAAATACAAGAAAACACTCTGCACTAATCCAAAGTGCAATCCCAGTCTAAGGAGGACCAACCCTAGACTCCAGATTCTACAGATTGGGAGGAACAGGAACAGATCCTTTGATAGAACTTGTAAAATTTACCTTCTGAAAAGAACAATACAAGCCTTCAAGGAGATGTACTGAAGAGAAATGGTCACCCGCAATCCCCCTGCCCTAGCACCCATGACCTGGAGCAGGTGTCCGAGCTCCCACCTGCTGACTCAGCAGCACGTGCGGTGTGCACGCAAGGACACGTTTTAAGGCATTTACTACAAGCAATGTGGTCTTACTATTGCTAACGTCTGATGGCAGGGAGCGGGGCCCACTGGGCCAGGGCACTGGACCTGGCCCCCTCAGGAAAGCACCCAGCCCCTGGACCCCGCCAGCCGCGTGGGGCGTGGTCACAGAAGGGCTGCCACAACCCACGCTGACCCACCTGCATCACAAACTCTCTGCGGCGCGGGAGGCCTCGCTCTGTGAGGAGCATGTACTCTGGCTCCTTCTCCTTTTTCGCCTGCTGGATCTGGGCCAGTCTGCTGATCGGGTTCATCCCCTGGCCGCAGTCTGTGCTGCTCTGTAGCTGACAACAACGGATGTAGACACCATGTGCCATGTTAGCCACAGAGAGGACCTCGCCAATTCAGGGGTCAGGACACAACGCAACATTCCTGTACGTTTGATCTAAGTGCCCAGAATTAATCAGATCTTTTTTAAACCTTCTTAAAATTAAAAGATGCTTAGGGATTTTCTAGGATTGCTCTGAGGTGACTTTTTAAAAGGCTCCTGGCAAACCAACATCAGTATCCCACTATGGGTAGGCAAGCAACCCTGAAAAGTCTGCTTTTTAACAATAAATTTCAACTTGACGATGAAGAGAGAAAAAAATACAGAACACTACTCCTAAAATTCCCCCCAAAAGTCTGTTATAAGATGGGTCCCCAGCTTTCTTAACAAGGACTCAAAATCCAGAAACTATTTAAAAAACACACACACACGAAACACAAAACCTCAGGCTGACACCACGTGGAAAGAACCTAAGAATCCCAGTTTCCTCCCAATGGCCATCTTTAGCGCCACGGAACCCGCAGCCACTGCTCGTGTGGGGTGGTTCCTGGGATCTCCTGAGAGAAGAGGGGAGCTGCAACAGTCTATAGCGTGTGCTCACCCCTGGGCACAGGGTCTTGGCAAAGCGTGAAACCATAGCGGGCTCTCGCACAACAAGGGTTTGAACTGTGCAGGTCCGCCTAGAAGTGGATTTTTTTTTTATAACCATAATAGAGTACAGTAAGTGTATTTTCTCTTCCTTAAGATTTCCTTACTAATGTTTGCTTTCCTCCAGATTACTTTACTGTGCGAATATAGCATTTAATACATACACACGTATCCAACATATAACATATAAAACATATTAATTGACTGTTTAGCTTATTGGTAAAGCTTCTGGTCAACAGTAGGCCGTTAGTGGTTAAGTGTCTGGGGAGTCAGAAGTTAAACCCAGGCTTTCCACTGTGGGGTGGGGGCCCGTGCTGTTCCAAGGTCAAAACTGTATACTGACAATCCGAACAGACCCTAGTATTCCTAAACATGCCCTAAACAGAAGGGCTGGACTCTTGTCCCTTCTCTGGGTGGGGAAGCAAGGGGCTAGTATAATTTTTGACAGGTCCACTGACATGGCTTAAAAAATCCCAAAGAATAGGAGGTGTTTGGTGAAATGCCTCACTGCCCCCAGACGCCTTTGCTCCCACAAATCTGCTTCACACTCGCACCAGTTCAGCGGTGAGCGAGGTGGAGGAAGGACACTTTGTCGCCATTCGCTCTGCAGAAGGGCACTGCAGATGCACACGGTTCCTGTGACCACCCCGCACCCACGACGTGTGCGCACAGCTGCCCGCGCCTCGGCGTCCGCATCTTGGCCGAGGGGGCTCCTGGGAGGAACCACCCAAGGTGGCCCCTGCACCAGGCCTGGCACTAGGGTCAGCAACCTGGTGAACCTTTAATATGTCCTCCCCCGTCATCTACAGGCAATGGAAACACCCTCTTCGATCGAGAAGGTTCTTACCCTGACTATGGATTTTGTTTTCTTTTTGATTCTGGGCTTCACTCGCTCGACCGTAGGCAGGGGTGGTAGCTTCTTTAGCTCCTCGAGGACAGCGATAGCAGCGTTTTTCTTTGAAATCTTCTTGCTCTTCCCTTCACCTTCCCCAACAAACTCCCCAACTGACACCTTGGTCACAAAGCTCTTCATATGGGGGGGGCCACTCTCCCGGGCAACCTGTTTCAGAGGGAAAGACTGAGTGAAAGCGTGACAGACACTTCCTGCCAGTGGTAGGACACACTGCTCAGCACACGACCTCCCAGGAACCACAGGGAAGGGCGAGTTACGGACAAGACCTGATCAATGCAGGCAGCGTAAATGTCAGCAAAAGAAAACAGTGAAAATCCTGAATGCTCTTCTTCCCTTCCTTACTTCTCAGACTTGCTAATGTTCTTGGGTCTGGTTGGTCCCCCATACAGTTAGTACGGAGTAAAGAGGAAAACAAGTTCTGCTCCCACCCTCCGAGCAGAACGGCTCCCATCTTCCCAGGGTCAGAGACTGTCCTGAGTTCAGGGGATCCACTGCAAATGGCAGAAAGGAAGCTGTCCCAGCGAAGTCCAGAAATAATTGCAACACAAAGAGTTCAAGTTTAATATTTGCTCTGAGCCTCCAGCCAAGTCTGAGCTTATTAAATCCTGACTGCTATGCAGCTTTAAAAAAGAATGAGAAATTTCAAAGCACTGACCGTGATTTCCAATACGCACTAAGTAAAAAAAACCAAACTGCCAAGAGTTTATACAGTACCCTAACTTTTGTGTAAAAAAAAAAAGATTTATATATATACCCACACATATACACAAATATATAAACAGACACACACGTGTGTGTTTATATGCTTATTTTTGCAAAAAGAAACACAGGATGGATAAAGCAGAAACTGAGAAAATTAGTTCCCTACAGCATGTGGGAGGGACTGTGTAGAGCAGGGACAGGATGACGCTTCTGAGTGTATCTTTTTGTATAGTTTTAACTTTTAGAAGCATTTAGTGTTTTACATATTAAAAATATAAAAATAAGTCAACAAAGATGGGAGAAAAACACTAAAATTGAGTGTGGACAGAAACTTAAGTAAGGTTCTTATTGGATCACACAGAAGGAAAATAAAAATTGAACTAGCTAACTTAGGTTAGCTAAGACACTCTTGAAAAGAACTAAGGACTCACACTAGCAGATTTTAAGACTTCCGATAAAGTTATAGCAACGATGCCCTCACAGCATTGTTTAAAGGCAAACAATGAGATCAATAAATCAGAACAGAATGCAGAAATAGACCTGCACACATTTGGTCTTGTGATTTCTGGCAAACACACCAAAGTACATCAAAAAAAATTTTTTTTTTTTTTTTTGCACCGTATCATTATTTTTAATGTCCAGCATTTACAATACGAGGGCCAGAGCTTTCTCCCCAACTCAAGTTTATAAATTCTCAATTGGCTTGTGAGGCCAATAGGGATACTTCTTCTTGTCTAATTTGGTTTCTGGGAAGACTTCATTCAGGTCCTCCCTCAATGGTCATCTGATCAAATGGAATTACGTTCCTCATCTTCTCCAGCTCTTTTTCATATTCCTCAATCCTGGCCTTTGAGAGAGACAAAAACTCGGTACACCTTTTCACATCTTCTTTTTCTTCAGCATCCACCTGAACAGTATATTTATCCTCTGGCACAGGAACCTTCAGGGCATTAAACTTCTTCTCAAAGTTATCTACCAAACCAGCCTTCGCCACATTGGCCTTGTAGTAAGCCCAGTCGATAGCAGGTGGTTTCTCATGGAGAGTAGCCAACCTGGAGGTAAGTGTCTCATTCCAGGATTTCGGGGAGTTAGCAATGGCCTTCTGGTTTTGGGGTATGATCTCCCCCAAAGCTACCCAGTCAATCGTTTTTAGAGCAAGTTTTCATGCAGCCATCTTGAGATCATTCACCGACCCCGGCGGCCCAGAGCCCACAGCAGCAAGGACAAAATACTTTTTTTTTTTTTTAAATCAGAAGTCTTAAAGGGGGGGAAAAAAAAGCACTACATATCCACGTGGAAGAAAAGCTGAACCACACAGTCTCAAACTCCACCACAAACAACAGGTACCTGGAGCCAGAACACAGACCTAAATGTGAAAGCTAAAACTGTAACACTCTCAGAAGAAAACACAGGAGTGGGGCGCCTGGGTGACTACAGTTGGTTGGGCCACTGCCTTCAGCTCAGGTCATGATCCTGGAGTCCTGGGATTGAGTCCCACATCGGGCTCCCTGCTCAGTGGGGAGCCTGCTTCTCCCTCAGACCCTCTCCCCTCTTATGCTCTCTCTCTCTCAAATAAATAAAATCTTAAAAAAAAAAGTTCTGAAGAGACACTAATTTGGAATCATTTAAAAAAAAGAAGAAGAAGAAAACACATGTTCAAGGCACCGTTTTCCTTTCAGTGCCTCTGTCCTTCACTGTTGACCCCCCAGGGACCCCATTCCTGTGTCACCTGAGGTGTCCGTGTTGGCTGTGTTTGCATTTCTACGTTGGTAGTTTGTGGCTTGTTTATGTGTGGGGAGTTTTTTAAAACAAATTTTTATAAAAAGAATATAATTTAATGGTAATAATAACTTAAAACAAAAATGGAAGCTACTGGTTATTCTCTTAACTTTTCACAAGATTAAATACAGATTTTCCTTTTAAAAAAAAAAAGAAAACATAGGAGAAAAGGCCTGGAGCATGCAGTTGGCAAACAGCTCTTAAAAACACGAAGTACCAGCCATAAAGAAAACAAATTCGGAGCTCCTCGAAATTACAATAATTGTTCTCATCAAAAGGCAACAATAAGAAAATACAGGGAGTCCACAAAACGGGGGAGAACATTTGCAATATATGTATCTGAGGGTTTATATCCAGAATACTGAAAGAACCTCTGTAAGTCAACTACCCAATTAATGAAAGACTTGAACAGGTACTTTACGAAACAAGATCTCTAAATGGCCAATAAGCATATGAAAAATGATCATCATTTGTCATCAAGGAAATGCAAATCGAAACCACAATGGAATACTGTAATATACACAACACCCCAAAATGGCTAAAATTAAAACAACTGACAGCATCAAGTGTTGACAAGGATGTGGAACAACTGGTCAGAGTATAAACTAGTACAATCACCTTGGGAAGCAGCTTGACAATTTGTTTTACAGATTTTATTTATTTGAGAGAGAGCACGAGCACGCACGCACGAGCACGCACGCACGAGCAGTGGGGAGGGGCAGAGAGAGGAGCAGACTCCCCGCTGAGCAGGGAGCCCGAAGCGGGACAATGCAGGACTCGATCCCAGGACCCCGGGATCATGGCCCGAGCCCAAGGCAGATGCTTAACCAACTGAGCCACCCAGGCGCCCCCAACTTGACAATTTTTATTAAACACTTACCCTTGACTTGGCAATTCTGGGTGCACGTGTATACAAGAAGCCTTAGCAGCTTTATTCATAAAAGTTCCCAACGTGGAAACCACTCACAATGTCCATCAAGAGGACAAATGGATAAAGCACAGCTTTACATTCATACAGGGAAATACCGTACGGCAATTAGCTTCTGCCATACATGGATGAGACTCAAAAACACTCTGTTGAGGATTAGAGACTTGACACCGAACAATCCATACTGTACATTCTATTTATATGAGGTCTAAGAACAAAGAAAATGAAGCCATAGTATAGGTTTCAGAAAACAGCTTCTGGGTGGGTGTTAACTTGAAAGGGGCCCAGGGCCTGCTGGAGGTTATGGGAATGCTCTAGATCTGGATCTGGGTGGTGAACCACAGGCTCGAAACGGGCTGTGCCCTGAAGACATGCCCATTTTCTACACAGGAAGCACACCTCAACAGATGGTCAGCAGGAGGTCTAAGTATGGAATTAGGAATGGAGGGGAAGAGCCTTGTGATGCTAGATGAAAATGAGAGGTATAAACTGGTAATTCTGAAAATAGAGGATTTTCTAGTGATGCCTGCCTACAAGGCCTAGAAGCTGTGACCCTCCCTCCAGCAGCAACAAGCATGCCTGGTGCCCCATCCTCATCTCCACATGCCGCTCTCCGTGAGGGGGAATGGGGCTCCTGCAGGACCAGCTAAGGCCATGTCTGTTAGAATTTCCATTTCTACTGGTGCCAAAGTAAGGGTAAGGCTAAAACATTTAAGTTCACTCAAAATCTGAACAGGGGAGGTGAGGAGCAAGCGAGCAGGGATAATGAGGCACACAAGCAGAAGAGGAAAAAAAACCACCTCACAGCATATATAAAAACTGTAACTCAAAATGAATCATAAAGCTTCAAGAAGAGAAGAGAAGAAGAATGACCTTACATGAGACAAAGGTGTCTTAGGTTACATACAACAACCATGAAACTTTTATAAAAGAAAAATCAGGCAAATTCAACCTCACTAAAATCTCTCTGCTCTTTCGAAGATACCATTTAAAAAATGAAAAGACAAGCCACACGCTGGGAGAAAATAATTAGAAAATACGTATCTGATAAAAGGACTGTATTCAGAATATATAAATAACCCTCAAAACTCAGTAATAAAACAACTCTAACAAAACCGACAGACGTGAACAGATGCTCCCCGAAAGAAGATGCCCAGATGGCAAAGCAGCACAGGAAAGATGCTGGGCTGGGGGGGGGGCCGCGCCTGGGTGGCTCAGCTGGTTAAGCCTCCAACTGGTTATTTCAGCTCAGATCATGATCTCAGGGTCTGCTTCTCCCTCTGCACCCCGCCCCCCACCTGTGCTTTCTCTCTTTCACGCTCTCTCTCAAATAAATAAAATCTTTTTTTTTTTTTTAAGATTTTATTTATTCATTTGACAGAGAGACACAGTGAGAGAGGGAACACAAGCAGGGGGAGTGGAAGAGGGAGAAGCAGGCTTCCTGCTGAGCAGGGAGCTTGATGCCGGGCTTGATCCCAGGACCCTGGTATTATGACCCGAACCGAAGGCAGACGCTTAGCGACTGAGCCACCCAGGCGCCCCTAAATAAATAAAATCAAAAAAAGGCAGGAACTACTGCTCTGTGCAACATGGACAACTCAACACCTGCATTACATTAAGTTAAAGAAGCCTGACTAAAGGCAATAAACTCTGTAATTCCATTTATGTAATGTTCTGAAAAGAGAAAAACTGTAGGGGCGGAAATTGGATCAGTGGTCACCTGAGGCTGAGGACGGAGGAAAAGAACTGGCTGCAAAGGGCCTCAGGGCAACTTTACGGGGTGAAAGAGGTTTTAGGTCTTGACTGCAGGGGTGGTTCCACCACTGTATACATTCATCAAAACACATCAATAAATCTAAATAGAATGGATTTTACTGTATGTAAATTACCTCAAAAAAAAAAACTACCCTCCCCTCCAAAAATATCCCCACAGGGGAATATCAAAGGACACAGCAACCAGCTGAATGGCAATTTGAGTATCAAAATGAATGACAATAATGTTGAACCATGTTTTTTTTTTTTTCTTTTTCCTTTTTTTAAATGTAAGCTCTACACCTACTATGGGGCTTGAACTCATGACTCCAAGATCAAGAGTCGCACTCCTCCACCTCCACCGACTAAGCCAGCCAGGCGCCCCCAATGAATGACAACAATAATGAAGTAACACTTTGAATAAAAAAAGCAGCTGTGGACCTATGCTAATAAAAATTAACGTACAGAGGTGGGGTATTTCCTGTGGAATGTCAGCTCAGAAAGGCAGAAAATCCACCATAGCAGTGACTGTTACTGGGAAGAATTATCAATGACTATGAGAATCAATGGGGAAATCTCTGAGGGCATAGCCTTCAAACATCTCCTCGCAGGATTAATTGCAAAGAGAAAGAAAGTCTCCTTAAGGTGAAGCTCTGGTGTAAGCCAATGAAAGGAACGTCACTGACACGGGGGAAATGCCCTCATGTGATGCTCAGAAGAACTGACACCACATCTGTGGTGCCCTGAGGGAAAAAATGCATTATCTGAAACTAATCAGGAGGGAACAATCAGACCAAACTGAGGGCCATTCTACAAAGTACCTTTTAAAAATGTCAAAAGAGGCTGCGAACTGTTACAGACAAAAGGAGAGCCCAGGGATGCCTCTACCAGATGCAGGGTGTGATCCTGCGCTGCCACGGGAACAAGAAAATACATACCATCAAGGACGGAAGGGACAGACGGCAAAATGTGAATATAGGACATACGTTAACATAAGAATTAGTGACGCTCAATTTCCTGTATTTGATCATTAGATTGTGCTTATTTAAGATAATGTCTTGTCCTTAAAAGATACATGTTGAAATTTAGGAATCCTGATACCTGCCACTTACTCAAATGACCCAGCAAGGGTAAGAAGAGATAGAAAATAGTACGCATTCACAGAGAGAAAAAGCAAATGTAAAATGTTAATCACTAGTAAATCTCAGTGAAGGAGAAATTCACTGTCCTATTCTTCCAACTTTTCCACAGGTTTGAAATTTTTCAAAATAAAATAATTCAAAAAATGGCTAGGAAAACCAAAGGAGCCCCAAAACAGCAGTGCTGTGCTCCCCAGGTGAGAACCAGCGGCCCCTCAGAGAGCGGCCTTCACTGCCCCCCAAAGGAAAAGGTTGGCAGGGAGGGCCCCTCACACACCACCTCCCACCCTGACAGCCTGGTTTCCGAACACTCAGCCCCACCCGGACTCTTGGCCTCTCAGAGTTGACTCAATCATCTACTCACATCACCAGCCAACCAATCTAAATGTGGAGTTCCACCTACAATGGATTTAGTGCAAGGTCATGTAGAGGTCACAACTGCCTCCCGGTGACT